TTACATTTATTTATTTTTGAGAGACAGACAGAGAGCATGAACAGGGGAAAGGCAGAGAGAGAGGGAGACACAGGATCTGAAGCAGGCTCCAGGAGCTGAGCTGTCAGCACAGAGCCCGACGCGGGGCTCGAACCCATGAACTGTGAGATCACGACCTGAGCCCAAGTCGGAAGCTTAACTGACTGAGCCACTCAGGCTCCCCGGGAGAGAGAGAATCTTAAGCAGGCTCCGTGTTCAGCATGGAACCCAATGTAGGGCTCAATCCCATGACCCTGAGGTCATGACCTGAGCCGAAATAATCTAGCCAAACACTCAACCAACTGAGCCCATGGGTCTTCAATTCTTTATCAAGGCTCCGGTGTCATCAAAACTTAGAACAAACAAATCTGTATGCTTTTCTATCAATCTCTCCTGTTATGGAGACCCAGCTATGAATGAAAAAGGGTAGGAGGATCCTTCTCCTCCACTACAGCTGTTCTCAGGGGACTACCCAGAGTCCAGGGTTGGGGGAGAGGTCTCCAGGGAGAGGGCTTTACTAGAGGCTGGGGAAACAGAACAGAGGCTGGCCCTCACGTAAGGTGCTCACTCAGCATTAGCTCTCCCACTACCTCATCAGGCCAGAATAGGATGGAGAGAAAGCAACCTAGCATCTGGAATGGGAAGGACAATGACAAAGAGGATCCACTTGTACTGTATCTGAACAAATAAAAGGTACAAACAGCATCAGTGCCGACATACATTAAGCATAGATAAGATGAAAAGAAGTGGCACAGAAACTATGCAAACGTATTACAACAAATGGAAGGAGAGAAAGAAAGGAAGGGTTGTAAGAGAAAAAACACCTCGTGGGGCGCCTGGGTGGCTCAGTCGGTTGGGCGTCAGACTTTGGCTCAGGTCATGATCTCACAGTTTGTGAGTTCGAGCCCCTCATCGGGCTCTACACTGACAGCTCGAAGCCTGGAGTCTGCTTCAGATTCTGTGTCTCCCTCTCTCTGCCTCTCCCCCATTCACACGCTCTCTCTCTCAAAAATTAAATAAACACTTAAAAAAAAAATTAAAAAAAAAAAGAGAAAAAACACCTCAGGAACTCAGTCTGGGAGAAAACATAGTCCAAGAAGGGCTTCTCCGCAGCTGTCTCAAGCTACAGATGCTTCAATAGAAATAAGAATCCAATAAAACAAAAGCTCAAAGACGAGATAATAAATCAACAAAATAAGTGAAATGACTGCAGAGCTATGGAAACAGATTGAGAGCCCAATAACACCAATACAGTGCTAATAAATCAATCAGAGCAGTAAAGGACAGAACAGACATGACCACAAGTTGAATAAGGCACAGAGTAAAGGTCTAAGATTATCTCAGTGGATGCAGGACAAAACAGAAAGACATCATCTCACACACTCAGAAGAAATCTAATAGGGGCGCCTGGGTGGCTCAATCGGTTAAGGATCTGACTCTTGATTTCGGCTCAGGTCATAATCTCACAGTCATGGGATTGAGACTCACTTCTGGCTCCACGCTAAGTGTGGAGCCTGCTTGAGATTCTCTCTCTCCCTCTCTCTGCCCCTCCCCTGCATGCATGCTCCCATGTGCTCACGCTCTCTCTCTCTCAAAATAAATAGGGGACCCCGGGTGGCCTATTCGGTTGAGCATCTAACTTCAGCTCAGGTCCTGATCTCACAGTTTGTGAGTTTGAGCCCCACACTGGGCTCACTGCTGTCAGCGCAGAGGCTGCTTTGGATCTTCTGTCCCCCTCCCTATCTCCCCCTCTCAAAAATGAATAAACATTAAAAAAAAAAAAAAGATTCTTAATAACTAAATAAACATATAAAAATTTAAAAATAAAAGTAATGTAGGGGCGCCTGGGTGGCGCAGTCGGTTAAGCGTCCGACTTCAGCCAGGTCACGATCTCGCACTCCGTGAGTTCGAGCCCCGCGTCGGGCTCTGGGCTGATGGCTCAGAGCCTGGAGCCTATTTCCGATTCTGTGTCTCCCTCTCTCTCTGCCCCTCCCCCGTTCATGCTCTGTCTCTCTCTGTCCCAAAAAAAATAAATAAATGTTGAAAAAAAAAAAAAAAAAAAAAAAAAAAAGTAATGTAACATATGTGAAAAGCAAAGGTCATAAAACAAAGAATAACTAGTTTCCCGAACTAGGAAATCAGAGCAAGTGACAGAGAAAATATTCACCAATACAAATCAAAACACTTGTCCAGAGCTGAAGGAGTAAATCTGGCCTCCATATTCTCCAAAGCCATGTTTACAACCAGAAGTCAACAGAACAGACCTGTCTAAAAAAATCTGAGGGAATGAGTGTGGCCCAAGAACAGAATACCCAGTCTTTTTCAAATTCTAACATGATGGGAGTTTAAAAAAATGTAACACCCTCCAGCGCCTGCAATACAAACCACTCAGCAGGAAATTCTGCCCTCCAGCCCTTGTGAACAGAAAAGTCTAGTGGTAAACACTGAACCCTCTGAAATGTAGAACCCATACTGTAGCTGAGGGAATGAGGCACAGAATGGAAAATGTGCCCTGATGAAAAATAAAACTAATGACAAAAATTGAGAGCAAGGGAGGGAGGAGTGTAGGTGTGAGGTAACAGAAGAGATATAGATGTGTATATATCTCTGTCCCCAGTTCCAGGCACAGAGCTCCTGAAACTCCTGTAATTTCCTACATGATAAGAATACTAGGGGCAACTCTTGTTCTAACATTTGGTCTTTGACCTGTCCTTGAAATTGGGCTTTTAAAACCCTTTGAAATTCCTAAGTGATAAGAGCATTAGGAGCATCTTTTGTTCTAATGAGGCAGGTGGACTCCTGGATGGCGACTGGTCCCCAGAAGGACCAAGCCACGACTAGAAGCATGGAATTTTCAGCCTCCCATCCCCCTACCCCTGCTTCTTCAGAGAAGGGAGAGGGGCTGAAGTGGAGATAACGATTGGTCATGTCTACATGAAGAAGCCTCCATAAAATCCCAATACTATAGGGTTCAGAGAGATTCCAGGTGGGCAAACACATCCCCGGATCGTGACGTACCCTAATTCCACAGGAACAGAAGCTCCTGCCCTGGGGACCCTCCCAGACCTCACCCTGTCCATCTCTTCATCTGGCTGTTCATCTGTATCCTTCATCATGTCCTTTAATAAACCGGTAAACGTCTCCATGAGTTCTGTGAGCTGCTCTGGCAAATTAAGGGACCCCAAGGAGGGGGTTATTGGAACCTAGGCTTGTGGCTAAAGGGGGGCCAGGGGAAGAGGGGCAATCTTGTGGGGACTGGGCCTTAACTTGTGGGATCTGATGCTATCTCTGGGTAGATAATGCTGGAACTGCGTTAATCTACGACACTCACTTGGTGTCATAGAATTGCTTGTAGTAGGGGGAGGGGGAGTGATAAACCTAAATACATTTGTGTCAGAAGTGAAGTGATCTGTGTTAGCAGTAAGGGAGACATGCAGGAGAAAAACAAAGGAGGAAAGAACTAGGTTTTTCCCATCACAGAATACAGGCAAAACTGAGTTTTTTTCTAAACAACAGGAATGGGTAAAAATTTAAGTACTGACTGCCTCACCTTTCATAACAGGAAATCAATTTTTTTGTTAAGTATACACAAAATTAAATGTTTTTTTGTTTTAAAAACAGTAACATGCATGACATAGTCTATTGTCTTGAAATCATCTCTATTTAGCTAGTGATCTATCCATTCATCCATCCTTTTAACTAGGTATCTGAAAAGAAAGATTTCTAGAATAATGTCCACCAACAGTTAACATCAATTGTTTCTGAGAAGTGGATATTGTGAGAATAATTAATAGTGGCTAGAAATCTTTAGGAAGGGGGCACCTGGCTGGTTCTGTCAGTTAAGCATCTGACTCTTGGTTTCAGTTCAAGTCTTGATCTCATGGTTCGTGAGTTCAAGCCCCACATCAGGCTCTGCATTAACAGTGGGGAGCCTGCTTGGGATTCTCTCTCCATCTCTCTCTGCCTCTCCTGTGCTCTCTCAAAATAAATAAACTTAAAAAAAGAAAAAAGAAATCTTTAAGAAGTATATGTATAAATGATCTTCGTGTTCTTTTTTCTAGTTTCCTATATCTTCTGTATTTTTAAATGTGTCCATATACATTAAAAACATTGAATACCTCTGGTTATAAAGGATAAATAGAGAACAATTGAAAATGACAAAGAAGAACAAGATTAAGAAAAGACTGGCACAAAGATTATCAAACTTATTTAAAGGCAAAAAAAGCAGGAGCAGAAATTAGCAGAGAGAAAACGCAGACTGAGAAGCAAGGGGCCTTGAAACTCACGTTAGCACGCACCAATTTCACTAATAAATCCCATCTAAATGACGGTAACTCCCAAATTCATACCTCCATCCCAGATCTCTCCATGAACTCCATACTCCTATCCCTTCACTTATTCAACATCTCTAAATGAAGACCTGACAACGATTTCAAATGTAATGTCTAAAACCAAAACCAAATTCTTGATTTTTCCCTCCACACATGCTCCTCTCTCAGCCTGCCCTATTTCACTGAATTCAACTAATGTTGGCTTGGGGCACCTGGGTGGCTCAGTCAGTTGAGTGTCCGACTCTTGATTTCAGCTCAGGTCATGATCCCTGAGGGTCACAGGATCCCCAGGGTTGTGGGATCGAGTCCCACATTGGGCTCCACACTGAGCATGGAGCCTACTTAAGAATCTCTCTCGGTCACCTGGGTGGCTCAGTTGAGCATCCACCTTTAGCTCAGGTCATGATCGCACAGTTTGTGAGTTCAAGCCCCGCGTCAGGCTCTGTGCTGACAGTTAGGGGCCTGGAGCCTGCTTTGGATTATGTATCTCTCTGTCTCTGAGCCTCCCCTGCTCACACTCTGTCTCTTTCTCTCTCTCGAAAATAAATAAACATTTAAAAAAAAAAAAAAGATTCTCTCTCTCCCTCTGCCCCTCTCCCCTGCTTGCTCTAAAATTAAAAAAACAAACAACTAACGTCGGCCATATTCTGTCCCTCGTTGTCAAATTTCCTGATCATGAAGTCTTTGATGATTCTGTGGAATTTGTTAATAGGTAACTCGACGCGCTAACTCCTGCAATTCTTTTTTACAGGTCTTTGGAGCATGCTTCCAGTACAACTCCAGCACAATGATTCCCATGTTGGGCGTGGGGAGGATGTGCAGAGTTCTAGTCAAGAACAAGGTCACAGCAAACAGGAATATTATGGGACTGATCCAGGACTCTTTATTTTCAAACTTATGTAAGTCATGAAATTGTAATAAACATCAGATCTCATGCTCAGCAAAGGAAAACACCACAATGTAAATAATATAAACACAGGTATCTTCTTTGAGTAAAACACATAGGAACTTCTGGCACTTCTTGTAAACAAAATAACTGTGGACAACTAAAAATTCAAACTAGTTTGTTACGCTTGGTGGCGAAGTCGTTGCTGCCCCGACCAGCTAGGTCACGATTCAAGGTCCGTGTGAGTTCGAAAGCTCACAAGGTTTCTGGGCTGATGGGTTCAGAGCCTGGAGCCTGTTTCCGGTCTGTGTTCTCCTCTCTCTGGCCTCTGCTCATGTTTGCCTCCCCTCTCTCTGTCCCAAAAATAAATAAACGTTGAAAAAAAAATTAAAAAAATAAAATAAAATAAAATAAAAATTCAAACTAGCCGTATATATTAAAAAAAAAAAAAAATCACTGATCATGGGAAACCAGTATAACCAACCCTCAATTTGGAAAAAAATTTCACTTAATACTTAATTTGTCATTTTTTAAAAAGAAGGTATTATTATATCAGGAATTTGTATTTATTTAAACATGCATAAGTTTCTGGGTAGGGGTAGAAACTTGACAAATGGGAAACAGGATGGTTTTTAATGAGTATTTTTTTTCAAACTTTTGTATTTTTGAACCATGTAAATATATTACCTATTCGTAAAAATTTTAATGGGAAAAAAAGGTACAGTTTGTGTGTATTTAAGAGAGGGTGCAACAAATGCAAAACCTGATTACTTCACATCTCTATACGTATCAAATGGGATGAGCCCTTCCCCTCTACCTCCCCCCGCCCCCCAAGTACTGCTCAGGAAAAAAGTAAAAGACTTAGGTGCCTTCCCCTCTCCTCTACTTCATCACTCACCTAGATCTTAAGCTCCAAGAACGTGAAAATTGAGGCAACTATGTATAGTCTGGATAGCCAGTGCCAAGCACAGCATAAGCACTCTATAAATATATATATGTGGTATATGCTAGAACATAGCTCTCTAAAAAAAGCCTTTCTACCAGCAATTCATCCCCTACTAACAATTCAGCAGGGATCGACACCTACTCTGTGCAAGGCATGGTTCTAGGCGGTTTTTTCCCTCATGGAGCTTATATTCTGGTGCATATTTTTTAAATACAGGGAATAACTTTTTGGAATGGCAATCAGGAAATACCTATACAGTTATGAAATCAACATACCTTTTGACAGCAATTTCAACTTCTAAGTATTCTATAACAAAACTCACAAACGTGCTGCTAAAGGACACGGTATGTGGAAGGATATTCACGCCAGTATTTGTCATAACAAAAAACAAGAGGCAACTTAAGTGTCCTTCAAAGAAGTGACTAAAATACAAAATATCCATACTATGGGCAGCTGTATTAGCAAGTGAAACAGAAGCAAATTACAGAAAAAAACATATATACAACATATATACAGTATGATCACATGATTTTGTTTTTAAGAAACAACATAAAAGAGACGGCCATCTGGCTCAGTCGGTTAAACCTCTGACTCCTGATCTTGGCTCAGGTCATGATCTCACAGTCTGTGAGTTCAAGCCCCACGTCAGGCTCTGCGCTGACAGCACAGAGCCTGCTTGGGATTCTGTCTCTCCCTCTCTCTGTCCCTCCCTCACTTGCTGTCTCCTTCTTTCAAAATAAGAAAACAACAACAAAAAGATAAAAGAAACAACACAAAAGAGATGTTTAGATGTTCGCAGAGAAAGATGTGGAAGGTCATCCAACAAACTATTTACTGTTTTTACAGGAAGAGGTGGCTTTCGCTTACTCTATATACTTTTGCACTGCTTGGATTTAAATGTTGATTTATTTTGCAACTTAAAAAAACGTGAACAGGTGAATTCAGAAATTGCTTTCAAGTTGGGGCCTGAAGTAGGATTTTGGTGGTGGGGAAGATGACCAGGGAGCAAAAGCAGCATCTGAGAACCGTGCTCCAGGGGAAAACAGCACGAGCAAGAGCAGAAAATAGAAAAACAGTAACTGGTCCTTGGCTACTGATGTGGGAATGGCAGAAGATGCAGCCAGAGAGGGAAGGCAAAGGCCAGATGAAAAAAATAATAATCTTGAATGTCAGGCTACCATGCTTTAATTTTACACTGTTGTAGAAGTAAGAAGTTACTTAGGTTATTTGTACTACTTTCTTAAGATCACTTTGGACTTTTTCCAAAGAGGCAGTGGAATGAATGGAGCTTAAGAACCTAGCATGTGAGGCAGCCGGACCAGGCTCCAAATGAGGTTTCCCTACTTACTTGCTGTATGAGTCTGGTCAAATCATTTCATCTGTAAATTCTGGCATTTCTCCTGCTAAAACTGGAGAGAAGGTGGAATAATACCCATGTGGGTATTAAGTGGATTAAACTATATGAGATGCTATATGTCAGGGGCATGGCACTCGCTAGTTAGTGCTCAGTTATAGCACTCTTTGATACTGGGGGAAATGTGTCTCTTCCTGTGCCTTTCTAATAGTTTAATGCAACTAAACTGCTTACAACATTAGTAGTTACTGTAACAGCTGTATAAACAAGCCCCACCTAGATGACCGCAACTCTGAAATTCAAAAGCGGTGTGTGTCTTAGGCACCTCTTTTTTTTTTTTTTTTTTTTAATATTTATTTATTTTTGAGAGAGAGTGCACACACGCACAAGTGGGGAGGGGCAGAGAGAGAGAGGGAGACACAGATTCTCAAGTAGGTTACAGGCTCTGCGCTGTCAGCACAGAGCCTGATGCGGGGCTCGAACGCAAGAACTGTGAGATCATGACCTGAGCCGAAGTCCGCCACTCAACCGACTGAGCCACCCAGGCGCCCCATAGGCACCTCTAACCTGATTCCAGATGCAACGTCGCTGGCTTGCAACCTCAACACACGCTAGTTGAATGAATGAATGAATGAACCACCGGGTGGGAGGAGGGCAACCAGGCCGCTGTCGCTGAGGTCTCAGGAAGAACCAGTGTGGAGCTCGGACGCGGAAGGTGGCGGTCCCCACTCAGCGCTCAAGCTGCCCTTACGGCCGCCGCTCTACGCTTCTCCACGTGGAGGCCAGCCTCCCGGGGGAGCGTACCCGGAACCCAGCCCCGCGGCAAAGCCGGGGCTCCGCGTCGCCACCGCCAGCCCAGCCCCGAGGCCCGACCCCTCTCACCTGGTCTCCAAGTACACATTGGGCGGCTGCCAGGAGTCTGGGGGGATCGCCGCCATAGCGCAGCGCGCGCAATCCAGCAGCAATTGCTACTTCCGGTGTCGATGCCTGGGGACCCGCCGCTGCTGCGCACACTTCCGGTCCTCGCCGTTCAACCCTTGCTATGGCAAGATTTGGGGAGTTGAGACAAGGAAGAAGGAACCCACTTCCAAGGCGGAGAAGCTGGTATGTGAAGCGAAAAACAGAACGGCTGCAGAAACGGAGAAAAGCGCAAGCTCCATTGTAGGGGGTGGTCTCCAAGTGAAGAGTGCGACACTCTCCTGTAGCTCTGATTGGTTCGTTTAGGCGGGGAAGGCGGGAAGAACCAGAAAATCTGCACTCCGATTGGAGTTATGTCCTAATTTTCCATTGGAAGAAGTTCTAGTTCCACAAAGGGGCTGGGACTTGAAAGAGAGAAGTAGAATGGAAGGGAATAGAAATGAGAGGTGCCAGTATCTGACCTTTGTAAGGCCCTGTACAATTTACATAGCACTTACATTTTATTATCTACTCCACAGAGCAATCCTGTAAAGTAGATATTATTGTTCCCATTTTTCAGATGTGAAAACCGAGACCCAGCAGTTAAATGACTTGTTCATTTGTCTCTAGCCATACAGCAAACCTGAGCCTGAAGACTCCAAAAAGTAAAGCAAAGAGTCTGGGACAGAGAGAGGAAAAGGGTCAGGAAGAAAATGAGAAAGAAGTAAAGGGAGAGACATGAGAATGAAGATCAAAGAGATGAGGGCTAACGCAAGGCTTAGAGTGACTGGCTGGGATATACGGGATAGAAGGTTGTTAGGGAGGCTTGTTCAGGGTCAAAGAGAAGCAAAGTAGAGGCCCTGCAAGGTTTGGAGGGAGGAGGAGAAAGAAATGGGGTAAGTAAATGTTGTAGATGCTTTGCACACTGGTTAATAATGATGGCTACAGGGCGCCTGGGTGACTCAGTTAAATGTCAGGCTTCAACTCAGGTCATGATGTCGTGGTTCACAAGTTCCAGTCCCAAGTCGAGCTCTGTGCTGACTGACAGCTCAGAGCCTGGAGCCTGCTTCGGATTCTGTGTCTCCCTCTCTCTCGCTCCTCCCCCGCTTGTGCTCTGTCTCTCAAAAGTAAATAAATGTTAATAAAGTTTTTAAAAATTAAAAAAAAATAACGATGGCTAAATGAGTTCTTACTTTATGTCAGGCATCGAGCTAAGAACTATGGTGTACTTTCACATTGTTAAAATCAAACACAAATGGAGACCAGACTTGAAAATTTCCTGAGCAGGCAAACCAGTTTAGTCATATAGGCAAACCTTAATTTATCTTGTTCTGTAAAATAAGCGAAACTTAACTTGGGCCACTTCTTGTTAATGCCTCTGAAAATCAAAAACAAAACTTAAACTGTTCTCAAAATTGATATGAAGTAACTACTCTTTTTAAAACTTTTTAAAATATTTAAAAAATATTTTACACTGTCAGCACAGAGCCTGATGTGGGGCTCAAACCCATGAACTGTGAGATCATGAAATCAAGAGTTGGACGCTTAACCGACGGAGTCACCCAGGTGCCCCACTATTTTTTCTTTTATTTTGAGAGAGAAAGGGAGAGTGCACCAGGGGAGAAGGGGAAGAGAGAATCCCAATCAGGCTCTGCACTATCAGTGCTGAGCCGGATGTGGGGCTCGATCTCACAAGCTGAAATCAAGAGTCAGACACTTAACCAACTGAGCCACCCAGCACCCCATGAAGTAACTACTTTTAACCCATCCATATCCCTAGGAAATTCTAATACTATAAAATATCTGAAGAGTAAAAAGCCACACTATCTCCTCACCGGATAAGCTGCTTCATAACGATATACCTCCGAACCTCATTCCATGTTCGGTTTGAGTGCTTCCAGTTTGCAAACTATTTTTTGTGTATGATGCATTTTTACTGATTACTATTTCAGTGATCCACTTAATCTTCAAAACTCCATGAAGTTGATGTTACTATACCCTTTTTACTTTAAGGAAACTGAGCCTTACAAAGATTAGGTGACTTGTTCAGTATCACAGCTGTGAGTATCTACGTATAGTTAGTTCAATCCTATTTCCCTTAATTGTCAGGTCGGAATAAGGGTATACGGTGTTGTAGAGATCAACCAGACAGTGAGCAGGCTGGGCCTCTCCTTCATTTCTGTGCCTTTCTCGCAGAGTACCAAGAATAGGGTGTTCAGGTTTTGTTGAATTAATAATGGGCAGAGAACTACATTTTACACTGATGAATGCTGGGCTACGGTAAGGTATAATAAATTTTACACTTTCTGCAGTCTCGTGTTCATGTCCTCTTTATGACCCTTGAGCTGAACAGAAAGAAAAGTCTTTATCATTGGTCCATTCTGTCTATTGCTATTTGAGTTACCTTTCTCTGGATCTTATGTAGTTCCTTACTATCTATTTTGGGTGCCTTAGGGCACAGTGAGGATGCATTGGAGTTTTACACAAGAATAAGTCAGTGTCTTGTAGTCTCATTCCAAAATCCTTCCCCAAGAGACTCTGTATTTGTTGGCCTTTTGTCCCCAAGAGAACATTGGGTGACTTCAGGGAGGAATTAACAGAGATTTCTGAGTATAACTAATAGTCCACCTTAAATTACTCTGAGTGTCTTGTATTTACTTCATCTATTCTGTTAAGCTTAATTTGTCTTCTTAATAAATGTGCTTTATTAAAACCAAAATTATAAACTCTTACAGAAACATCATTTTGGGGGCTAGAAACTTGAAGATCATCCTCTTTCCCTCTGCTCCCTGTAAGTGATACATCATCAAGACTTATCAATTCTTTTTTCCCAAATTACCAGGCTTATTTTAACACCAGGCTTATGTTAGAAGCCCCCTTGTGGGGTTGGTTCCCTGCCTTTTGGCTTTTCCCCACTAATGCATCCTGCACACACACCAGCCAAAGCTTTCCTCCCAAGATATCTTGTATGTCACTTTGCCAAGAAATGTGAAATGGTTTCCCTTGGCCTGTTCAAGTCCCCAGGGCGCCTGGGGACTGAGTTGGTTAAGCTTGATTTCAAGCTCAGGTCATGATCTCAGGGTTCATGGGATCAAGCCCCCCCGTCTGTGCTGTCAGCACAGAGCCTGCTTGGGATTCTCTCTCTCTCTCTCTCTCTCTCTCTCTCTCTGCCCCTTCCCTGTGTTCTCTCTCAATATAAATAATAAATAAATAAATAAATAAATAAATAAATAAACATTAAAAAAATAATTTATAAAAACTAACTAAATAAAATAAAGTCCCAAACCACTTGGCCTGGGCTTGAAGGGCCTTCACCCTGACTTCCCCAGCCTGATTTCCTACCATTTCATCCATGCCTTAAATGTGCCACCAACATTTCCACTTTCTGGGCCTTTGCTCAGGCCATTCCCTTTCCTTGCAATGCTTCCCAAACCTCGCCCATGCCTGGGTCCCAACTTCTTCAGAAATCCTCTCTACCCTTCCTGTCTGCGAGTAGGTTCTCTCCCTTTCTCCCTTCTTGGTCTTTATTCCTCTGCCACCTTTCATTGTTGTCTAGCCGCTTGTACACATTCTCTTCTCTCCAAGTAGATTGATAAGAGCCCACGTTAGGGACCACGTCCAAGTTCGGTTCAGTTCAGCATTCCCACAGGGCCTGGTCCAGGCCTGAACCTGAACAGAGAGAACCTCCAGTGGCTGGCGGAGCTAAGTCACCACAAGCAATTCTGTGGCACAGAGTGTTACTACCTGGAAACCTTCTCGAGGGTTTTTCTAAATGCCAACAGAAGCCCAGACTAAAGAAATGAGTATGTTTATCCATCATTTCCGTCCCTATCCTCTCCCCCAAACCGTTCCTCCTCCTGTGCCCCAGTCACTGTTGTCCTAGTCACCACACATCTTTTGATTCCTCACCCTCCTTCAGCTACATCCCCACACACATTCCAGATTGCCAAGCACTTTCACATTCATGATCTCTTCTCCCACCAGCCAGGTTTTAGAGTGGAGGGCTCTGAGTGACCAACAGGAGGAGGCGACAAGCTGCAGGGCCCACAGGATTTAGTGTGAGCTGGAGCCCAAGCCTTTCTCCTGCCTTCCACCCCTGAACCTTTCTACAATCTGATTTGTTGTACCTGGGAAATCTTCCTTGAGCAGATTCTCGTTCTTCCATTCCTTTTACCTAGACCATCAGAGTTGTTTTTCCCTTGAACTTTCCAAAGTTAATTTTTCCTCCTCCAATCTAGCCTTCGTCCATCCCACGGGATTTATATGGCCATAACAGAACTCTGATCCCATCACAACCCCACTCAAAAACCTTCAGTGGCTCGCCACTGCCCACAGGTCAAAGTGTTAGCATTCAAGTTCTTTCTGGCTATGCCAAACTGATCTTTAAAGATTGTTTAGGGGCGCCTGGGTGGCTCAGTCGGTTGAGCGGCCAACTTCAGCTCAGGTCACGATCTCGCGGCCCGTGAGTTCGAGCCCCGCGTCGGGCTCTGTGCTGACAGCTCAGAGCCTGGAGCCTGTTTCAGATTCTGTGTCTCCCTCTCTCTGACCCTCCCCCGTTCATGCTCTGTCTCTCTCTGTCTCAAAAATAAATTTAAAAAACATTAAAAAAAATTTTTTTTAAAGATTGTTTCTTCTGGGGCACTTGGGTGGCTCAGTTAGTTGAGTGTCTGACTGTTGATTTTGGCTCAAGTCAAGATCTCACAGTCGTGAGATCAAGCCCTGCCTGTGTCTTTTTTTTTTTTT